ATCTCTCTATCGCTCTCTTTCTCTGTCTCTCTGTCTCTCTCTCTCTCTGTATATATATATATATATATATATATATATATATATATATATATATATATATATATATATATATTTTTTATCATATTGACGAAACCATTTTACTCACTCTAAAGATGCATCTTGGTTTCATTGCATTTCAACTGCACTTCGACGGATGAGAATCGAAACCTTTTTCGATCCTCACCAGCCGAAATGCACTGAAACCAAGTTGCATTTTTGTTGTGAGTAAAATAGGAACACGATACATAATTTTTTTTATATCTATCGTGAAAATCTTACAGTGTTGTGAGTTCAGTAACTGAAACGGAGATATCCAGAAAAGGCATGGAACGTGGAACTAGAATAATCTGGCACGTGGATAAATAAAAGGTTGTCCGGAAAGTTCGTGCCGATTTTTAAAGGAAATTAAAATATAAACAAAATATTTACTCAACTAAATATGACCCATTTTATTGCACAATCTTTCTCAATTTTTTCTTCAACTTAAGTGTTTTATTTATGTCATTTAAGGAATGAACGTTTTTACCATTGGGAGTATTTCGCGCGGACCTGAATAAATGAAAGTCCGAAGGCGAAAAAACCTGGTGAATATGGCGGGTGGCGTACACATCTGAGGCAACATGCAACAGTTCTTGCCAGGTCGTTAAAGAAATGTGAGTCTGGCATTAACCTGATGGAGAAAAAACACCTTTCCTTTCCAATTCTGGACGTTTTTCTTTAACTGCTGCTTTTAATTCGTCCAGTCGCGTGCAGTACTTTTCAAAATCAACTGACTGCTTATTTGATAGAAGTTCATAGTACAGGACTAGCAGCATGACCCGGCGTTGCCTGTGCTTGATTCAAAAATCGTACGACTCATACAGCAATCGCTATCACTTGACTTAAAATATTTTTGCCCTCCCTTGCCTTTAAAGGAGTGCCCTTTGCCGTGCTGATGTTGCTACATGCCTTAATTCTTGCCTATCTCACACTGCGAATTTTTTCCAAGCTCTATACTAAACATTAAATCTGTTACGAAAAAAGAACTAAACAAAATGATCACAAAACGATCAGCTTTAAAAAAGGACTCGTAACTCGAAAAAACGAATGAAAAAAGAATGTTAAC